TGCACTTCAGCATTTAGCACTGGGTAGAACGAAAAATGCAGAAAATGCCTTGACCTGAAAACATGGTAGAGAGCAAAAGTTTGCTGCTGCTGTTTTGCATCTGTTTTAGAGAGCAGCACATTAGTCTTTCTGTACAGAACTTTAGGAAGGTCATGAAGAGTTCAATTATTGCAGCATGAGCAGTTTGCAGTCCCTGATTTGGAAAAGTTTCCATAATCTCATTCTGGGCCCAATCCTTTGCCAGGATTGGGACTTTTTATAGACTTAGTCTTTTCAGGTAAGTTGTTCTTTTTTCTTCATAATGGTAAATGTTGCAGGTAGGAACTTAGTTCCAAAGGCTTTCAATGGATCCAGCCCGTCTCCAGCTGTCAGGGAATCTTCTGCTAGCAACAAGTTAACCTTACGTATTTTTCAGAATACCATGAAGTGAGTGATGCCTGCTAGTATTAAAAGCAAAATATGGATCTAGCTGAGTCCTGGGGATGCCATGCCCTCTTGTTTTCATGAAGATAAGGGTTTAATAGAAAAAAATGCCAGCAGGTGGTGCTTCAGAATACAGGGTGCACCTGGGCTTTGTGGGACAGGCCAACATGAGTGTTGGACATCACAAGCAACTCTTCCTGTTCCTTGTTATGCAGCGTTTGAACAAAATGTTCTGCTGCAGTGGGAAAACCATTGCTCACTCTCTCTCTGTTTTGTTTTTTCCTCTGTACATTTACATCTAGCAAGGCACCTCCACTTTACATAAACACCCTCAACATCAGAGTGTAACACAAGCTCGTGTCAGCCGTCCCCGCAATGAGCTGGGGAGGAACCTCCATGCGGGAGCTTGACCTTTTCCCTCTTGCTGGGACTGCCCTCGTTGCTCAGCAAGAAATAAACAATTGCTGGCATATACACAGCCCTCAAAGGCAGCGCCCGCTCCTGCAGTGGCTCCAGCTTCTCCCCTAAAGAAGTGACCACTTTGTGGGCTGGTGCATGGTAAAGGGTGAAGAGAGCTAGAATTTAGCAGGCTTTAAGAATTAGGGTTGACCATTAATTTTTTTAATGTAATGAAGATAGTATTTGCTGATGAGGAGACAGGTTGTCAAGAGTACAGAACGTTCCCTGTCCAGCAGTAGCAAAGCAGGGATGAAATTTTGTCATCAAGAAGGCTAGCTTCGTTTTTCCCTTTTTGGATCAGGTGTGCTGCTTGTTTTAAAATGCTCCTAATGTGAAAGGTCTTCCTAGGGCTGAAAAAGGAAAATGTTCCATGCTAACCAATTTTGTGCATTAGAGTCCATTTTTCTTAGCTGTTGACTACATCAGTATTATCATTCTTGTCCAAGAAAGTGGTGTATGAGCAAGGGCTACAGGATGAGGCCATTATAGGAGAGAAAAACATAGGAAAATCTTACTTTAAAAAGCTGAGGGTTTCCTAGGCTCTCCTGAACTCTCTGTTCAGAGCAGTGTTCAGGAGCTTTTGAGTACTGATGGTAAAACACACTGCTTATAGATTTTTGTCACTCTGGTAAAGTAATTTTTCACATGTGGACTTCAATTCTTTCTCCTCTAAAAGAGGATTGAGACTTAGCTCTTTGAGTTTCTGCAAGACTTAATTAGAGTGATTTGAGAATGAAGGATGCCCTGTCAGTGTCACTTATTCCTCGTGCTGCATCTTCTGGGTACTTATTAAATTCAGTGGTTTTGCGTTTAAAATCAGCATTACAGGATTTTGGAATGACACTGGTGGTGTGGTACTGGCTGGTCAGTAACTAGGAGGGTCAAATTCCAAGTTGGCATGTGTTATTTTCACTCACATAAATTTTCACAGGAGCTGCTGCTTCTTTTGAAGCCCCGGTGAAACTGGATCCCTCCCTTGCCCCCCAGTATTTTTTTTGCACAGGCCATTAATGATAAATGTTGTGTGAATATTTTCAGCAACTGAAGGCATCTTTTACACCTACATGCAGGGGGGACGAACTCCTTGCACGTGTTGACGTGTCTGTTCTCCCCTACAGGTCTTTACCAGGCAGCTTTGTTTTTAAGCTCGTGAGTGATTGTTGCTCCTTGCTCTGGAGTCAGCGCAGGTAGAAAGGAGCAGATGGCTCAGTGCTGGCTAAGTGCTTGCTGATACACAGCAAATTGCTTCTGTAACCCACTGATAGGTTTCAGGCTTTAATTGAGGCTTTCAGCAAGGCGCTCAACAGTGAAAAGCATTCTGCTGAGAAAAACATCAGCGTAACCATGGGCAAAGGTTCAGGATAGCAGAGTTCAATCCCCTTGGGGATGGCTCCTCTATTCATTTATTTATTTATTTATTTATTTTCTGCTGCTTTCCCACCATCATTCAAGGCTTCTGTAACGTTGTCTGCAGATTACAGCTCAGTCTGTCAGTGCAGCGCAATCCTTTGTGCTGGAAACGTGAAGCAGAGACTGATAAGTTTGGATTTTGTGCTTGCAGCAGGCTCGGTGTGTCTGCGAAGGTACCTGTCCCCTGATGCTCCCTTTGAGTCCCCGTGTGCCTGCTCTGAGCAGCAGCTTTGGTAGGTCTCTCTTGCGTGGCAGGGAGCACAGTCCCCACTGTCTTCCCTCTTATGTACGTCAGCATCATCAGAATTTTAACTTTTAATGGACATCTTTAAAAGGGAAAGGAAAACTCCCTTGCTCCTTCCTCACCCCAAGCAAGAATGGATTTGACAGCGGAAGAAAGATATTTGTGGTGGAGTTGTCTGAGCAGCGTCCTGTTGGGCAAGAGTTTCCTCCAGCAGCTGCCCCTGAGGCTGAAGGAGTTGCTCTGAAATGGAGTTGTAACTCGCCCAAATAAAGGGTCAGTCCAGGCCAGGCAAGGAGGCAATAACCCAGTGGTCAAACTCTTATCCCCCCCCATATCCACTCCTTGTCAGCTTTCAGTTCTACTTTGAATTGGATTTCTTCACAGTACAGGACCAAGGAATAAATTTCAGCATGGAAATTGTATCTGTTGAGCCAGCTTGGTTTAGTGTCCTCAATTAGCCTGAAAGGACTTGCTTCAAGTTAAAAAGCTGTCTGGTTGTCTTAGAAGTTTAGATTTTATTTAGTGTTGGAGTGGGTCTAACAAAAAGACCCTAATTAAAGGCACTACCTGAATAAGAGAAATTAAATTCTATGAGTCAAGTTTCCTGAAGAGTCTAAGAAATCTCTGATGATGGTAGAAGTAGTGCTGGTAGCTTAAAATTACTGCTGGGCTGTCTCTGCCCCAAGGAGATCAGAAGAACAAAGATTTTTTTCTCTGTTCTGAAATCCCAGACACATTTGATAATGTCTGCAGCACGTTTTTATGTTCCTTTAGCTTTTCAGTGGCTTAAAATGCACTGGAAGTGTGAACTACACTGCCAATGTGCTTTTGTACTTGCACGAATTTAATTAAAAAGATAATTGGATTGCTTTATCAGCCTTTACATGTCAGCCCAGTGCTGCCCTCCTCTCCCCCCTCTTAACAACATTGACAAACCCAAGGCATCTGAAGTCTGTATTTTTCTGCATTGTTCTCTTCTCTCTTGTTTTGGATAGGGTACAGAGGTGACTGTTTGCTGTTGAGCATTAGATCTGCTCCACGGGGGGAAGGAAGTGGCTGATAAGCAGAGAACCAGCCCTGGTCAGATGGTTCCTGCTGGGGCTGCCCTGGGCGAGTGCAGGGGGAAATGCCCTGGAGCCACAAAGCTCCAGAACAAAACAAAGCAGACCGACCCTTTGCAAAGTCCTCTGCTTTATAGCACCCAATGTATAGCCCAAAATGTGCAGCTGAACCTGCAATCTGCACACACAACACGGGCAGTTCTTGTGATTTCCCCGGAAATGCTGCTGAGGAATGTTAAGATCCATTTTTAGTGCAAAACACCAATGTTTTCACGTAAACAGAGAAGTGCCCAGCCTGTGCTGTAAATAAACCTGAGGATATGTCCAAACTTCTTGACATACCTTTGAACAGAGCACCAGGCTCACACACAGAGAGGAGTAGAAGGGCACGTGAATGAAACACAAGTGGGTCTGTCAGTGCAGAGCTCCTTCCCTGCACAGGGGCTGTGAGGGGCCTCTAGCACTGCCCTCCACACTGCCCACCTTGGCAAGCCCCTCCTGGTTCTAGTGAGCTCTTCCTTTTATTTTTTTTTCCAGGAGTAGCATTTTAACACTCATCATTGTTTTCCTGCACTTCTGGAGTACCATCAAGCCACCTCTGGGAATTTGGGAGGGTGGGTTTTCTCTAGAGGATACCATTTATAATACAAAGCAGCCTCTGTTCCAGTTGTTTGTGGCAGCATTGCTGCTGAGGAATAAGAGTTGCCCTTTGCTTATCCAGCTGGTCTGTGCATGGGGCAGTTGGTGAAACAGCTTGGGCATGGCCAACAATAGTGGAGGGGCAAGCAGAGGACTGGGGCAGATGGAGTTACATAGTCAGGAATGCTGTTCTTGAGAGTGGAAATGGTCTTGCTTGGAAGATTTGGAGACTTCACAAGTTGGTGTCTGTTCAACCTGGAGGGTGACAGCATGACTTTTCAGGGTACTTCAAGACAGAAAAGAAAGCCTGTGGGTCTGCTGGAAATTTGTGCTTTGATAAAATTGATTTTGTTAAATTTTGACTGTAAATTCACCAATTAGCAATGTAGAATAAAGTATCTCTGCAGTGATGTTTTGATGGCCTCTCTCTCTCCCCCATTCTTAATGACTCCCTTTAAAAGAACCTACAGCTTTAGAAACAATGCAATAGCAGGTATCTGTTATTAGCCCAAGGAATAAAGTGTTTGCAAGAGGAGATGGTGAAAATAAAGATGCTCTAGAGTTAAAAAAAATATTTTAAAAATAAAAAGAATCATGGTTTCCCATTGCTTCCACAGAAGAAATCGGTTCAGATGTACAAGGTTTTCTTGTCCATTTTAAAGTTTTAAATACAGCCTCTCAGCAACCAGAAAAGGCAAAACTCAAAATTCAGAGCAGCCCACTTGGCAGTTGCATTATAGGAAACCCTTTCCTGTTTCTTGCAGAAGAAGATTTACAAGTACAAGAAGGTGCTCAGTAACCCCAGCCGCTGGGAGGTGGTGCTGAAGGAGATCCGGACGCTGGTGGACATGGCGCTGACGTCCCCGCTGCAGGACGACTCCATCCACCAAGCACCTCTGGAGATTGTCTCCAAACTGCTCTCAGAGGTATGACCTCAGCAGGGCTCCTGCAAGACACTGTCACGTGTAGATGAGAGACAGTTAAAAGCTTGTGAGTCTTGGGCTGTCAAAATTCTGCCTGTGAGTCTACTTGTGACTTCTGCTGACTTGAGTGGAATTTGCACTTGCTGGGGAGAAAGGAAATTTGACCCATGCTGTTAGGTAGATTCCTAAAAACAAAACAAACCACATTTCTCTTTAGTTTGTTGGTTTGGGGTTTTTTGTTTGTTTAATTGCTTGGTTTAATATTTATGGTGAATTTATTATGGGTCTGATTCTTGTCTAATTTCAAGTCAGTGGTAAAACTCCCCTTGATTTCTATTCCATTGGCTTTGCTTCCATGACCAGTAATTCTTATATACAGAGCAATAAATTAATTATGCAGCTATTTTATTATTACTAGTTATGTTTCAAATGTCTAAGTTTTCATTAACAGGAAATGTAATGCCAAAAAAGTTTTTCATGTCTTAGTTTTGATTTACAAAAATTTGATATAAGCAAAAAAAGTTGCTATCTGTTTTTCTTACAGTAGTCAAAAGTCTTAGCAACTCAGAACTTGGTAATTTCTGGATGGATTATGCTGCTGAAAAAGCCCCAAGCAAACTCTTTTGCATAGGTGAATTCCAGTCAATTTATTGGCTTTTACTGGTACTGTGTTTAAAGAAGGGATTTCAAGAAAACTGCAGCAGTTAGTTTATTACCCACAAGTGGTAACCAACACCACAACAATCCTTTTATTAATTTTTATAGAAACATACAGCTTGCCTTAAAACATTTTAAAGAAATGTATCACTAGATTTAGTTTTCTGGATGATTGAGACCTCCTCGGGCATCCCGGTGATTGTATGCTCAGCTTTGGTGGCTGGGGTGACTTAAATCTCAGTGGGCTGAGGGACAAATGGAAGCTTGGACCACTGCTCATGGCAGACAGTTTACCACCTTCTTTAGGAGAGTGATTTTAATTCGATGATTTTTATTCAGAAAATAAGCAATTTCAGTCTTGAACCTTTCTGTTTGTGTCTGTGGTAACTGAGAACTGTGTGTGCTGATGTGCCAACTCAGAGTACTCTTTTCTCATTCATTGTTTTCTATTCAACTCTTCTAGAACAACAACTTAACCACTCAAGACCAGGAGAGCATTATTGTGGTGAGTATCCTTCTGTTGAAATCTGAGGATAAATCGGTATTGTTTCATGACACTTCTCTTAGTGCTTGTCTCTACCCCAGTGAAGTCTCTACCCCAATGAAAGCATTTCCACCAATGCTGGTAAACTTGGGCAGCAATCAAAACCATTTGTCTGGTTTTTGTGTGGCTTTGTAATTCCTCTTGTTTCATAGAGGAATCACAATAAACCTTTCTCATCAGTTTATATGAAAGAGCACAGCATGTGAGTGTTAATAGTCTCCCCAAATGGCCCCCTTACCAGGCTACACAGAGCAATGTTCATATCTATATATGTACTTTAAATAGTCAAAACCCATCATTTGCAGATGTGCCCTATAAAACCCTGAGGCTTAGTAGTTTCCTGAGGGGCTGATGCTACCATATACAGAATGTCTCCATTGCTGATAGTATGTGAGCAAGTGATTGTTGTTGTAAGTGTGGATATGTGTCACTACAGTTTAACCCCCTGCTTACTTGATTTGTAAAAATAGCCTCTTCAAAGTTTTTCTTTTCTGTAGATCATGTTTATTTAGACATAGAAATAAGTGAATCAAATAGCAGCTCTGTTCCTTGTGAAACAAAATACAAAATCTCAACAATTTATCCAAGATGGAACTTGGTTCCCCATCACTATAATTTAATTTCATTCTCTGGCAATTTCCAGGAGATTTTCCCAGTAATCTAATCTAGAACCTCACCACCACCTGATTGTATCACATCTCCATGGCTCTTTCTGCGAAATGACAAGGTGGCAGGTAGCTGCCAGTAGGTGTGAGTTCTCTTTATCTGCTGCCTAAGATACCATTTTAGATGGAATCAGTCACTGAGATAGGTGTCTGAAGTTGCATTTGCTTTTCTTTGTAGGTTGTGCCCGAGCTATTAAGGAGGTAGCAGTTCCTGGGCATTCAGAGCTCACTGCCATTACACAGATAACCAGGCTATTCTTGGAAAGTATTGCTAATACTGTGTATTTATGTGAAAAGTACACAGTGATTTACTGTGCAGATGGAGCCAGCTTGCCTTCTCTAGATGGTGCTGGAACAGATCAATATTCCAGCCAATCCCTTCCTGCTCAGGACAGGGAGGCACATGTTGCCATAGCTGCTCTTGACCACAGCACTCATAAGGAAAATACAGGAAAAGGTGCTTTCAGGCTGTTGCTCTTCCCCACTGTATGTACAGACAGAGCCATGACTTGCTTGAGCATCTCTGTTGTGGTTTGGCAGGTCCCATAGCAAACACTCCAAAAGATGGATTCAGGGAAGATCTCGAGCTCAGGTGTTGGATGGGGAGCGAGGATATTCTACTCTGACTGGACTGGTGTTGTGTTCTCCATCAGCCACCGTTGCTGGGCCAGCACCAGAGAGGAATTGAACAGTTGCAGGAGGATGGCACACGATAACAAACAGAAAGTTCAAAGTTCTAGTGCATAACCAAAACTGAACTTTGCAGATGTGTTGGGTTTCGTTGTTGAAATTCCCACTAATCTTGACTTGTGTGTGTGAGTGGCTGTTGTGAAACACAGCCATTGCAAGCAGACTCACAGGGCTGAAACCCTTAAGGAGATGAGAGGGAGAGCAAAAACCAAAGCAGTAAAACTCCAGATGCCATCCAGATAAAATATCTGGTGTTCAGTTGCTTAATACAAAATGTCCTGGCTGCTGTATTTAGTGCCTTACTTTTCAATGGGTACTGGGAATCCCTTTAGCTGAAGACTGGAAAAACCCAAAGGCACCATCACATAGAGACAGTGTATTATTCTAGTACCATTTTCTGATTTACAAAGGAGGTAACAGCAACATAAATTCATTACACCCTCAGTGGCAGGTATGACCTCTAATGTATTTACCCAGCATAAGCACATTGGTTTGCGTAGCAACAAAGGAGGAATAGTGATCTCAACTTTCACAAAGTTAAATGCTTGATTTGGATGAATAGGGTCCTCCTAGGTGAGAACAGGGCTGGGTCACTTTTAGTGGGCTATTTCTCATAAAAAAGAACTCAAAGTCTTCCATAAAAGATATGTGTGTGTGTGTGTCTGGTGTTTTTCATTTTTTTCTAAGTGAAGTAGTGAGCCAGATTCATCCTTGCCTTATTACATCCTAAAACAATTGGTCTGCTCCTGTTTTTATTGAAGCTATTATAAAAATCTCTCTCCTTTGCTGTGGTTTATGTATTTACACTGGTGCAGTTAAAGGCAAAGTTTTCCAGAGAACTCATGGCAGAGGTGTTCTTGAGTTTACTTGTAAAATAAACACATAGCCCACCTCTAATTTCTTTGGTTATGCTTTTTGTCCTTTTCTAAAGCTGAGTTCCCGCCCTCACCCTGAAAAATAGTTGTTTGCAATATGCAGTTGCAGTCCTTTAATTGAATTTTTCTCTCTTTTTCCTTTTAAAGGCAATTGCACCTTTGCTGGAAAACAACCATCCTCCTCCTGACCTCTGTGAATTCTTCTGCAAGGTATCAGAACAGTTTTTCTTTCTGAAATCTCATAGTTGTAGATGAGCATAGTTCTTTGAGGGGGTGGTTGTTTTTTTCTTTAACTCCTTACGTCCTACCTGAATTGATTTCAGTTTTTTGGTCAACATCCAGTGATAGTGGAATAGTTAACAGCACCATTATGATAAATAGAACTGTGTGCTTTAGTACATCAGTCTGTTTTGTCCTGATACTGTGTGAGAGTTACAGGTTTCAGACTCCCACACCTCAGTCTGGGTACAGGAGGTGTCCTACTGCATGTTCTGTTTGGCTAATGCAGAGATCATTGGATCTGTGTTCAGATGAGGTGGTAATGTGATGTCTAACTCAGCCCTAATGGTATTATGTCACTGGGACTTAATAAGGACCTATCCTCTTCTCTGGTAAATCCATGCTTGTGCTGCATTTTGCATCTTTTCCATAAACTTCTGGGTACTTTGGGTTGCAGACCTTATGGATTTGAAAGTACTACTTTTCCTCTAGGCCTGTTAGTGTTTCAGTTTCAAGTCTGCTTAAATTTGCTTGCTGATGACTGTGTATGCATCTGTCAAACATTCTGGATGCTGCTTGTAATTCCCATCCAGAGTTTACTCATCAGCTGCTTCTTCCTACAGAAATTAAGTCAAGTTTCAGAAACTCCTCTGACTGTTGCATTTTTATAAGCCACTTGTAGGGTCTTCTCCAGCCTTGGACTCAGGGCATTTTTATTCCTGGTTTGGGTCTTTTTTTGTCTTTGGTCTCCATCAGAGATGGGCGCCTGATTGTCTGTAAATGTGTGGGATGGGCTGTGTAGAGTTGCAGGAATGGAAACAGGTTATGGACTTTTCAGAACTGAAGTGGACAAGACTAATGAGAGGGCAAATCTATCTTCACAATTGACCCTGCCTTGAGCAAGGGGTTAGACAAGATGACTTTCAAAGGTCCTTCCCAACCCAAATTACCCTGACTGATACATTTTGATTGTATATTTTATCTTGTGATGGGAGAGTGGGTTGTTAGTACCCTCCAAGATCCACCAGAGGTTTTTAGCCTGGATCCCAAGGAAAGGTTTGTGCCATTACACTGCCTGTGTGTACATATCTTCCTGCCTCCCAACCCATTTCAAAACTGTTGGCAAGCTTCAACCAAATTTGACAAAAGGGATATGAGTCCCCAAAATGCTACATTCGAGTGAGTTTTGGGAAGAATGGGAGCTCTTGAACCTGTATAGTCTATTAGATGTCAGCAAATTCATAGGAGAGAGCAGCGTAACCCAGGAAAGGCTAATTTAGCCCTTGAATCTTGTTAATTTTGGGGTAGTCCATTCATGGGGTGTGAAACCAGGGGAGACCCACCTTCATAATTTCTGCAGCTCACAGAATGACCTGTTGCTCGTTCCAGCACTGCCGAGAGCGCCCGCGGTCCATGGTCGTGATCGAAGTGTTCACACCAGTGGTACAGAGGATTCTCAAACACAACATGGTGAGTGCAGGAGAGACCTGGCCCCCCCAGACTGTGAATGCTGCATGTAATTGTGTGTTACTTTGTATTCAGTGGGATTTTCCAGAGCATCTAAGCAAAGTGTTGTTTTGAGGGGCATTTCTTTTGGCAGCAGTGCCAGCATATGAAGCTCCAGCTCTCTCCCACCTGGCTCTTGGTGCCTTGTTTACTCCCCACATGCCATCCTTGCAGTTAAAATAGTTTAAAATCAAAGAAATAACAAAATCAGAACAGGGACTTTGTTGATTTTGAGCTAGGGCTCCCAACATTTTTTTTTTAAGACACCCCCAGCTCTCTGGATTTCCATTTTTCTTTAGGCTTATGTCCAGTGAGTTCTTACCTAGATTTCCTGAATTTCTTTATGCTTTTCTCCTATTATTCTTCCTTTTCATTGCAGGATTCATGTACATATTTTATAACTGTTCTCACCCAGGCTTTTCTCTTTTCATTGCCAATCAATTCCTTGTTAGTGTTTGAAATAAATGCCAGAAGATTGTCCTGCCCTGTGGAGCAGATTTTCCCTCCCCCTCCACAAAGATATTCTTACATGATCCGTATTCCTTCCCTAAGAGAGTTCTGGGTTATTTACCAGCTCTCCAGCCTTTGTGGCATATTAAATTTCCTGCCATGATTTTTAAGTTGCATAAAGAAGTCTTACTTCACAATGCTGTGGCAAAGACTAAACAAATAAGTAAAATAAAATATTTAAGACAGTTGACTTGGCAGTGATCTCAAGGATGAACCTCTGTAACTACATAATCAACTTCTTTTCACTAACTGATGTAATTTTAGAGACCATCTGCTGTCGTGCTGTGTGCAGCATAAACCCAGTAGAAAACAGTTCATATTTCTTATTTTTACAATCTTATTATTTAACTCCCCGAGTTTACAGAACTAGGTAGAAAGCCCAAGATGGCAAAAAGGTCGTATTCCTGGCTCTGTGCCTGCACTCTGCAGACATGTAAACATTTTTGAATATTCTGTACCGTTCAATGAAATATTCTGTAAATGTTATTCTTGGATTCCAGACTGATGTTTTTAAAGCATCCAGAGCTCTTGAGGGGTCTCAAATAAAATCTAAATGCACAGTGTAATGCTTGTATTTGGTTAGCTTCAGAGAATTGGGTATATTTACCATACTTAACATTTGCAGATTGAAAATCAACATGTCTGTACCGCAGCGTGTAGTCAGGGAATTTATGGTGTCATGTATTAATTGGAGTGGATTTGGGCACTTTACCACTCTCCAGGGACTTCTGTACTGAACAGTCCTTTAGAGAATGTGTGTGTGTGTGTGTGTGTGTGCACGTAACTGAAGTTACATTTTAGGGGGACGGTGTTGTTGGCAGGAAACTTCACCATCTGTGCAGCTCAGCGTCCGTAGAGTTGAGCTGGATCTCTCCACCTTTGCCTCTCATTTGTTCTGTGGCCTTTGAAAATTCCCAACAAGTTTCGTTCCACAGTTTTCTACTTATAAAATGGGGAGGGGGTGTCTCATTTGTCTATGATTTTGAGATCTCAAAAGATCTCAAAAGATGGCTTTTTGTCTTGCTGATACTGCAGATTACGTGCAGGACTGGAGGCTGTTGTGTGTTGAGTTGTTTGGGGAGTGCTCAGCAACCTCCTAAAACCTTTGGATTTCAGCTGTTTGTAGGCTCAGCCCAAATGTTTGAATATAAGCACTATTTTTTTTTTTAGCAAACAGTATCAACAGTGTGTATTGTTCTGTACTTGATATGCTGACAGGGCATTGTATTATATTTAGAGAGATATTTTATTTTACAGGGATCAGCAATGACATCCTTTTCATGACCCCTTGGACTTGCATTCTAGCTTCAGTTAAGACACCCACATGGGTTGAAAAATTTCATAGTCAAATTGCAGCTGCAGGAGCTCTTTTGCAAGGCGTGTTCATGGAATTATTCAAATGTTGTGTGAGGCACACATGGTCTCATGCCCTTGGACCAAGTCAATTTGCTCCTGCCAGAAGGAGTTGTTGGAAGTTTAATAATTTTAGTTGTAATACCAAGTGTGGAATCGCCCACAGTCCCTTTGCTGGGTGAACTTAACCAGGTAGACATTCAGTACTAGCAGAGTAACACTTAAGGTTGAAGGAGACATTGTTCAGCCTAGGCTCGTTTTCACATTTTGGGTAATTTTCTCTAGCTGTAAAACTTAGGAGATGTTAATACAGGTTGTGCTATAGAAGTGCCTGAAACCAAAATGAGTTAGCAGGAGGTTTCAGTGCTCTGGGAATGTATCTTCCTTTTGCAGACCACCACCAGTTCATTACCACTGTGGCATTTCTTTAAGTTGCCATGAAGTTTGTCCACAGGCAGCTGCTGGAGGGATAACTGGGGGTGCTTGTTTGTCCTCAGAGGACCTTGTTCACCCCTTGGAAATTCAGTTCTGCAACACCTGTGTAATAAGGTTACACCTGTGCAAATGTGAAGAAATGTGCTGTGGAATAACACTCACCAGACAGCAGAACTTACTCCTTTCACATCTAAAAATAGCAGGTGATGTGAGGAGATGCAGGATTTCAGTTTGCAGGTGCCTTTCTGACTGCAGGATTTAAAGAAAGTGACTGTTGAGCTCACCTGTCAGATTCACATTGTAGCTGGAGTAAAATCCCTGGAGAAAAAACTGACCTCTGGTTTTACATTTGACTGCTTATTGATTGCGTGCCCAAAAGATTTTCTCTAAACCCAGGGTACATATGATGCCAAACATGGAAGTATAATATTATTTTTGAGTTTTACTTTCAAAAATCTGCAGTGATAAGTGGAAGCAAAAATGCAAACCAACAGCAAAAAATGTTCAAAATGAAGGTATAAAGTGAAATGTACAAAGGAAACGTAAGTGCAGGTGGGATGTTTTGTTCTTGTTTCATTAAATTTTTTTTTTTTTTTAAAGTGGGTATGGGGAAAGAAGAGATTGGAAAGCATGTAACTATTAGTGGGCAGAACATAACATCAGCATGCAGCAATACTGTCCTCTTGAAGCATAATAGCAAAGTGAATTCAGTTGGGTTTGAGTTGATTTCTTTTGAAAACCCACAGTTTGGCCGTACATTCACCATCTTCACCGGGTCTCTCCTTTTTGGACAGGATTTTGGGAAGTGCCCTCGGTTGCGGCTGTTTACTCAGGAGTATATTCTGTCTTTGAACGAGCTGAATGCTGGAATGGAGGTGGTGAAGAAGTTTATTCACAGGTTAGTTGCATTTAATTTATGGCATATGTCCAATCCTGTGTACATGCCTTGGTGTGTTGCTTCTCCCACATCTGCTTGTCCCCTTACTGGCTGTTAAGAGTAGCTGGTGCTTTTTTGGGACTGGCAAACAGCAAATAAATTGAGTCCCCCAGCCAATGTTACTGAATGCTCTTTTGAAAAAACCTGAATTCTCAAATATGCCTGGGGCTTCTGCCTAGTTCCACACTGGAAGCAGACTTTGCCTCGTGTACATTCTTCCTTTATATTTAGACTCAAAGCCTCTACAAGGATATTTTCATTAACATTCAACCTCATAATGCTCAATTATGTGTATGTTTTTTGGAGGTCTGTAGGGCTACCACATCAGGTAAACTCATGCTGCAGGTTAGCCTTGATCATAAATAGGGCAATTGGTAGGGATTTACAGAGTTAAAGTATCTCTCTGTTATGGCCCTTCTGAAAGATTCCCTGAGGATGCTTATCCAGGTTTGACACCTCGTTCTGTCTGGCTGGTTTTACCCACAGAAATCTTCCTGGCAGTGATGTCATCTTGGTTTTTGTTTTTCAGCATGCATGGTCCAACGGGACAATGCCCACATCCCAGAGTCCTGCCAAATCTTGTAGCTGTCTGCTTAGCAGCCATTTATTCGTGTTATGAGGAATTTATCAACAGGTCAGTATGAATTCCCAGCTGCTCACTTCCAAACCCAAGGCATCAGTAAACAAGATGGGTGTGGGTCTGTGGGAGGGTGTCTTTGTTCTCACCTGCTCATTGCTGGTGTTCTGGTCAGTCACATTTATGTGTTTGTAGATACGTGGTTATATTTGTTACACTCGGTGCTGGAAAACCTGAAAGGTGTTGAACCTTCATTCACTGGTACTCACCAAAGGGAAGGGTGACACCTTGAAGAAGGGGTTGTGTGTAAATCCCTGTATATCTACAGCTTTGAACCCGAGCTGGTTTCACAGTGCTGCCTCCATTACTGTGGAAAATTCGATTTCTGACTTGCCACAAAATAGACGCTGCAGTTCTTGACACACGAGCCAGTTTCCAGTAGGCACTGAGGGTTCCCCTCTGCTATGTTTCCTGTTTGTTTATGCCTATCTGACTTTCCTCATGGTAGAGCACGGACAGGGGCTGCTTAGTGTCCAGCACAAATTCCAGACGTGAGGGCTGCAGACAAATGTCTGGGCATGTACTGTAGCCAGATACATACTTGGGCATGGATTCTGTTACGGCTTTGCACAACTTGGATGGGAAAGTTCACCTTTATACTAAACTGGCATGTCAATTAGAGTAATGAAAAGCTCAAATCTTTGTAGAATAGGGGCTGCAGAACAGTCCTATTGGAGCCTTTTAATGTTTTTAATTGATTTCAGTAATCCGATTACACAGGGGAAAGCCGTCCGGTGGGCTGGGGTGAAATACGGTGGGAAATTGCAAAAAGTCTTGGCTCCTCAGCGTTGCACTCCCTCTCCTGCTCCCTGCTGGTATGTCTGTCTATTGAAACAAATTGTTTATTTTTCAAATTCAGTCGGGACAATTCACCAAGCCTGAAGGAAATTCGGAATGGCTGCCAGCAGCAGTGCGACCGAAAGCCTAATCTCCCCCTCCGCCTTCTGCACACAAGTCCTGACCTGGTCTCTCAGGAGGCCACCTTGACTGAATCCCGTCTCAAACCAGTTATTGTCACTGCAAACGAGATCCACGTGGAAGTGGAGCGCAACAACACGGCGAACCAGAAGATGACAGCCAGCGTGGGCAACGACAGCGAGCCCAACCTCATCGACTGCCTGATGGTCAGCCCCACCTGCAGCACCATGAGCATCGAGCTGAGTGCCCAGGCAGACAGGATCCTGGGCTGCTATGTTGAAATACTCAAGATGCTGTGAGTAACTATTTTCAAACAGCTTTTTGAACAATGTCATCTTAACAATGGGGGGCTTTTCCCACAGGCCTGTTGTCTTCAAACATCTGTGGCGGGCAAGCACATGGTTATAAATCTTAACTCCAGCTCGAGAGAGTCCAGCCTTTGAAAGAGACATCTGGCACTGCCAATATGTTCTAAAAATAGCATTAGGAAGATGAAAATGGAAAGCTTATTTGTACAGTTAACCTCAGGCATTTTACAGAAGACGGGATGTTGCTGCCAGTGGTTTCTGTTTTTGTTCTTGCCCACCAAAAATAAATAAAAAAATCCATTTGTCTTCTCCAGGGCTCTTGGGATTGCCTGAGACAGAGCTAGAAAAGGCAGGTCTGTTCTAGGCTCAGTGCCTGTGCAGTGATAGGCAGCAGGAGTTGGGTGAGGTTATTGTTCTTTACTTAGGTGTTCTCCCTTCACGTGTTTGTAGAAGTTTTATGATTCATTCAGATTTACTTGTGTTAGAATGGAGTCTCTATTTGTTGACCAGTTGCTTTGGTACAGTGAACCTGTGTTAGGAACAGGTGCTCAAATAATCTTTACAAAATGATGGCTCCAGGGTTTCCTGAGAGGCAAATACTCTGAATATCTTCAAAAGGAATACAAAGGAAAATGTTCTTCAGAAAAAGCTTGTTTTGCTCCTGGGTAAATAAATGAAATACAATAACACAAAAGGTGGACTGCAGAATAGAAGCTTGTAATAAAAGCACAGTAAAACAACATCATTAGCTTTGACAGCCAGCTCTGGTACTGAGTTGCAGTATGTCTTTGGGCAAACTGTTAAATTATTTTTAAACAATGTAAGGCTTAATGAAGTAATAGTTGAGTTTTTTAGAATCCAAGATATGGTGGTTGAAATTTGGACTCCACTGTAAACCATGAGGATGCAGCTACACTTTAGTCAAATCTGGAGGTTTGCTCTCAAGGAATTAATTTAAGTCAGACTGCTGTGATGGAGGTTTCTGTGAAGGTTTTGTCCCACATTTCCATTTTATTCAAAATACATGGTACAAATTTGCAACACAGCTTTCACTCAGTGCAGATCTGGCTTGCAAATACTTCAGCACACATTCAAAACCGGAGACAGGACAGGTGAATCCAAGGTACTGTTCCCATTAGATTCTTGAGCAGGAAGTTGCTGTGAAGGCTGATTTTATATTTTTTTCCCTGTGGCCTGGGCTCTTCTGCCTTTAAAAATGTGCATTAAAAAGCACAGCATCTGAGTTTGCTTCATCTGAGGGCTACTAAGTCTTCACCCACCCAGGTGCTTCATTGAGCACGTCGTGTATTTATTCTCATCCCCTTGGACTGTCGCTGTTTTCCATAAACACTGAACTCTCTCAGTCCTGGTGCTGGCTTGGATGCTGACTCACTAAGCATTGACGGTTTTGGTTTCATCATGCAGCTGACACACACTTATAAACAAATTCACGAATGGGCATGTTCTTCCTCACAGCCTCTCCACATTTTAAACATTTGATATACCAGGTCTCAATCCCTCTGTAATTTCCTACGCAAAGAACTCTTATTTCACGCCATACCTTAAAATAATCTATTTTTTTTTATTTGTTTGGCGTCTCTTTGAAAATCAAGCTGTTCAAGAGCAGCAGTGAAAATGGGAATCTGTTCCTGTTATGGGCATTGAAGGTGTGGAGCAGCTTTGGGGCCTTTCTTGGGTTGTATGATGTGAGTTCTGATGGGTGAAACCCACAGGATGAGAAGGCCCAGCAGCAGTACAAAGCTGGTGCAGCTCTCCTCAGATTGACCTGCCAGAGTCCACAACCTGTGAGAACACAGGACAGCTTCCAAGGCAGAGCCATGGCTGTACAGATTGTAGCTCCACTGGTTAGGGTTCCCTTCCATTCCTGTTCATCCCTTGGTTTTTTTGGAACCCAAAAGCGTTAGTGCAGGACTAAGTTCTGCTGATTCTGCCACTGGCTTAGGAGATTTTAGATAAGTCACTTATAAGTGCCTCATTTTCCTCATCTGTAAAATATAGTAAAGATTTTTAATGTTGTTTTTTAAGTGCTGAAACCAGTGATGGAAAAGCATTGTAGAAGGGCTTGTAGTTATTACAAAAGTACATGCTGTTATGATGCTGATTCCTTTCATGCTCAAACTTTTCTTGAACAAAGGCTTTCTGTTGCACAAAATACTATTGCTGTACTTTGAGAATCTGAGAATATGAACAAAGAGTTGAAGAACATGCCAGTAGGAAGAAAACATTAATTATAAAACAACTGCTATCCAGGAGGTGAGCTCTCAGCAGGCAGTCACTAAAATAATGTTCTTATTAATAACAGTGGTAAGCCAAACATAAATAAGTTGCTTAGCATTGAGTTTGATTGTTCTTTTAGGTGTCTGACTCAGTATCATCATCAAAACAAGAGAGTCACCAGCAATGCTATCTTTTTTACATAATTAACTTAGGGCAGCAGGCAGTAGATCATTTAGGCAGATTTTAATTATTGAAACTCTAGCAAATAAGAATTCTCAACAGTAGCTTCAGCAGAGCACATTTTATTATTCACCTGATTCTTACATATACTTACTTTTTGGGGAAAAAACTCACTTCTAACCTTAATAAAAATGTTATTTAATAATCACTGTAATACCTCACTTTTTGCACAGAAGGCTAAAAGAGCACTTGGAAAGTTCATCTGTGGGGCTTTTATAGCACCCAGAACATCTTTGACCCTCTTTCTAATGTAGTTGAGTAACAAAACACAACTATTGCATACTAAAGGAAAACAGAAAACTATGATTTTAAAGATGTTGGCAGATGACCCAAAGTCTGGGCAGATGTTAAGGCAGACAGTCTCTAGTGGAACATGATATTTTTGTCCTGCACTCAAAAGTGGATCAAACTTCTGTGTCAATATTCTCTAACACAGTCTGGACTCTGACAGTGTTACTGATGCCAGTCAGTGCCTCCTGAATGCTACAAGTCTTAAACTGGTGCATAGAAAATGCACTAAATTAATTGAAAACTTTCTGTTCATCACATTAAATCAGAGGCTCTGAGAACAGCTCAGTGTTGCCCATCTCTTACTTGCCTGTTAATGTCTCCATGACTTAGGGAACGTCTTGTACAGCCAAACTTGAGCTTGAACAGCACAACTGTGGTTAGAGGAGGTTGTGGTAGGAGGACCTTGTGACCTCTTCCTTGGTCTGGATGACTTCAAAATCTGAGTTTCACTGGAAGGATCCCACTGGCAGCACCCAGAGTTTCACTAACTCCTTTAGTGAAATCTGGATCAACAAATAGCAAACTAAACTGGCTGTGAGAACAGACCCCTCTTAGGGAAGCTGTGATGGTGTTGTATCCTAAGCTGTTACCCTTTGTCTGTGTTATTTTTTGTTTCCATGGCTGCCTGTAGTGACAAGGGTCCTTCCAGATGTCCAGACACTTGTACCCCTGTCTGGGGCCAGTGTGACCAGGGCAGTGTCACCTCCTTTGGGTAACCTTGTGTTGCTGTTTCCTGGTGCTTTCATGCCAACTGTGAGCAGTGGAGCCCGTTTCTGTTCTTAGCAGCCAGGGCAGGACCTTTCTAGGGTATTTCAGTGGTGCTAAATTTTCCTCTTTTGGAAAAACCACAAGCCCAGCTCAAAAGAGGGCTGAACATGAAAAGGTACCTCACTGTTTTGTAGATAGCAGGTTTGTGCCTTATGTGACAGAGGGTGTGATGGGGCTTTTTTTCAGTCTGCCCTGGAGCCCTGAGCTAAACCTTGTGTCACACAATTCAGGGAGTTGGACCTAGAGCCAGGGAAAGAAGGGATCAGGAACATGACGAGGGGGCTTGATCATCTTGTCTGATATCAGAGGTCATCTAAGAGATTTTTGAGCTGCTCAAGCTGCTCAGTCTGGAGAACAAGCTGCTTCCAAGTAATTGCTCATGTCTCTTCATTGTCCTCCCAAAACTGAGGACTTGGGGCTTGTGCTCTCTCAGAGATAAGAGCAGCAGCTTTCCAAACACAGGCACCCACTGGAGCTTCCCCTGCCTGCTCTGCATTCCCCAATAGGTCAGTGGCATGCTCTGAATATCCCAAGTGGATTCTCTTATGTCATGTTTATCGGGGTTGCCCTGGGCTGCTAGTATGTTTTGGATTGTTTGTGCTGCACATGACATATGGGCAGGTTTTCATTTTGGTGAAAGGTGATCCCGGGGAAGGAAAATGTATTATGTTGGCAGGCCAAGAGCGACGATGGCCCAGAGGCAAAGTCACTGCAGTCAGGGATTATTTAATTAATATAGTTGTTCTATGCTTTGGCCAATCCCCTAGAAAACGTGTGCAGCAGCAGGTGATGGCTCTGAGGAGCTGTCACAGCCTGGCTTCCTGACCCCCAGCCCTCCACACACTTCCAGGAACCCGTAGGTCAGGCTGCAGCTTGGCTGCTGTGCTGTTCACCTAAAATTGCAAGTCCTGCAAAAAAAAACAGAACCAGGGAGTCTTTCTGCCCCTTTCCTTTTATAAGGCTAGTCCTGGGATTTGAGCTGTGTGATGAGCGTGAATGTTGAGCCCAGCACCCTTTGAAGAGCTCCAAAGGGAGTTTGTCACAGGTGCTCTCCCTGGAGCTCTGGGCTCCCTCCTCCTCCTGTTCTGGCCTCTTTGTCTGGCTCATTGCAGTGGTTGTTAACTGCAGCCAGAGATAATCCATCTCCCTTTCTTTCCCTGCTTCAAACACTTCTGTCTTGTATTACAGCTTTGAATGGACTGGAAAAAAAAAAAAAGAAAGGAAAAGAAAAAAGCAACTGTCTGAAATGAAAGATGAGTGAAGATGAGATGAGCACAGACAGAAGGAAAATGTTTTTGAAAAGGGAATAGGTGGGAGGAAGAGAAACACCGTAGGCTTTTAATAAGTAGTTTAGTTTTATTCTCGTGCTATGTTTGTTTCATGTTTCCTAGCTCAGGCTGAAGGGATTACAGGCTGTGCAGATTTTATGTTCAGGTCCCACTCATGTGACCAAATTTTATATGTTTCATTGGAAATGGTTGTTTTTTTATTTCTTCTCCTCCTAGGGAAGCAGGCTATGGTTTATTTTCACTGCCCTCTCACAGACCTGCTCTGCAAATGGAGGCTCCCCAGCTTCAAAAGTCAGAGTGATACTGTCCAATTCTGCTACAGTTTCACTTGATCTTAGTCTGTTACAAAACATCTCTTTTCTTACTCTTGCAATTTCCTTTGAAGATCGGCCATGAAAAATTGATTGGTTCATATTATTACTAATCACAGCTCTCCAAATTGCAAAAGAAAGAACTTCAGTGGTGTAACACTGAACTTGAGATGCCAGAGGAGCTGAGCCTCCAAGTGGGTCTCAGTTTTTAAGCTTCTGTTGGGGAAGATCTGTAGGTGCTGTATCTCGTGGGATGTGAAGCACCTTTAACACCTTTGAATTCCCTGACTCAGCCTTTTGACTTTCAAGTCTCACCTGCTCGAAAATCTGCACTTGAAGTTGTTTGCATGTACCGATAAAAATGTGTCATTTTTAGAGTAAAATCATCTAGGACTTTCCAGAGGGTGTGTATATTTAAATTTAAAAAAAAAAAAGTCTGTGCTTCATTCTCACACCTAACAAACACAGTGAAGCCCAGGCTGTGTGGGTCAGAGACCTCTGGCAGTTCTCATGGCTGCAGCTCTACATGTGTTGCATCAACTGTCTCCTACAGAGACCTGGTAGGTGAACAAGGGACTTTCAGCTGAACCTGAATACAGGTCAGAGTTCTGTGTCGCTGACCCTTTGTGTCTGTAGGTCAGAAACAACAAATAGTCATGTAGAGAGCCCTACTTAATCAAAGCTTTGTTGAAAGAACCCACAGAGCTGATCTTAGAGATGCTGTGTAAGAGGTTTCCTTGCCTTATTTCAGTTTCTGTGACAAGCCCCATCCTCAGGTGTTTCGTGTTATTCACTTTACACTGACTAAGTGGAAAAACAACCCCTGTAACAAAGTCCTGCTTCATGTCTTGCTGTTCTGAGACACTAAAAAATTGATCATCTTCCTTATTTGTTCAATGCCTAAGCAGGTAAGGGACTTTTTGTCTCTGGAAAGAACCTTAGGAATGGGTGATCACAAAGTCCTCTCCCTGCAACTGACTCACACTGACTTTAGATTTGTTTAACCCTTGTCCCAGAGTTGCTCCTAATTTATACCCGAGAACAGAATTTTTGATGGAGTAGAAAATGAGGCTCATTGGCTTCTAGTGCAACTGGCATGGGCATGGGGTTTTCTTTTGTTTTTTAATATATTGCACTAGTTTCAGATCACAGTGGGTTGGTTAGTTGCGTGAGATACTATACATTTTTGTAACCTGAACTCATACTGCTCTTGGGCAAGTGATAACTGCTTCCCTGGTTGATTTTTACAGCATGATCCTCCCTTCAAGTAAAAATTTTTTGCATGTTGCCTCTTAAGAATCCCCTTGTCATGCATGTACATTTTCTTTGTGTCCATGAACACGTCTTTGTGGACTGTCCCTATCGCGTGTTACTAGTTTATGGAAATTTCTGGGTTATGTGGTTCAAAAGATGGATGAGACTTTTGGAAATGCATCCATCTTCAATTTCTCTGGGCTAGAACTTTCTCTTTGCAAAATTGCATTCTTTTGGAATGGTTCCTGTGCATATGTTGTCTGTCTCTAATGCTATCAGTAGATACTGTCCATTTGAGAACATTACACTTCGTTCCTTCCTAAAGACACACCATATTTTTGTGCCAAGTTTCCAGTAAGCTGCAGCCAATAATCTGTTTTTTAACACTAAAATCTGAAAGGTAGCAGCAGTAAGAGGAGGTGGTAGGCTCTTGAACATTGCCTCTACAAACATCTCAAGGTGTTCCACCCCATATGAGATTTACTTCTGTGCGTACTCGTGGCTACTGATGGGAGTGAGGGTGGCCTGGCTGGCAGTGCCAAGAGCTGGGCCTTGACTGTGGATTCTGTGCCCTGTTTTGGTGCTGACTTGCCAAATTGTCTTACTTTCTGTGTCCTTCACTTCATCTGTCATACAGTGATTGTGCCCTTTGTGGAGTGCCTTGGTTCAGCAGTTCATCAGTGCTAATTAGCCACTAGATGTTTGGGATCATTGGAAGGGTAGGGGTGGCAGTGTGCAAGTGCTCTTCGTACATGAGGAGCCTTCCCCAGGTGTGGTCAAGCAGCTGGAATTTGGCAACAGGTTGGGATGATGTGCTGCCAGATTAGTTTGCCTTGACCAGTGCATGCTGTAAAGCAAAATATACTTTATATCCTGGTTCACATGAGCATCCCCTTATGGATGGCTCCTTGTAGGACTGTTCTGTGTGTTGAGAGCAGAGATGAAAACCAGGTGCATCAGCTGAGAGCTGATGTGGTGCTGACACAGCAGAGAGGAGGTACTTACTGGGTGCACTGGGCTGAGCTCTCTGCTCTGGTTGTCCTCATTTGTCCTCTTCCACTCAATAATTCTGACAGTGCTTCCTTCTCTAGTCTCTCACCTCTTAAGCTAAAGACTTTGTACTGTTTGAATTGACCCATTCCTTTCTGCCAAGGTCAGAAATGGATTGAGGGGTATCTTTGTTTTTACAAATGGGTTTATGTCTTATAGCAAATAAAAATTCCAATTACATGCAGAGCAGAGCTGTAAATAGCAATGGCCTGGTAATTGCTGTACCAACTTAGATGAAAGTATTACTTAGTGATTAAATGTCAACAGGTTTCATAAACAGCAAATGTCTTTAAGTTGACATAAAGAAGGCCTCTCTGGAGGTCACTGTAAATACCAGATTTATTGTGCCTCAGTGGAGAATGTGCTGCAAATGGAAAGGGAAATGTCACTGTAGATCTTTAGAGTGTTTCAGTAAAACAGAAAGGTTGTTAGTGCCTGCAGTAAAAAGCTTTTAACTCCTTGAACTAACTGTTGTCAAACCATATTTAAAACCTGGTAACCTATTAATAAAACGTTCATTTTTCAGGTCAGACTATGATGACTGGAGACCAGCCCTGGCCAGCTTGCTTCAACCTATCCCATTTCCCAAGGAGTGAGTTTGCACTGGCTTAATATTTACTGGATTATTCTTTTTACTGTTGTTTTATGGTGAAATGGAACATCAAGTAAAAACTGATGGTGATAGGAGCTTTGTGCCTCTAGTATTGATTTAGAAACTAGAGCTGATTTTGGCTGATGCAGAGGGACGTGAAGACCTCCCCGTCTTCAACTTCCTTCCCCATTTCTCTAAGAAATAGAAATATGGTTAACTAGAGACAGGCAGACAGGAAAGGAAGGAAAGCTGGTGAGGAGGAGAGCAAAGTGAGAGATTTAGTGGAGGAGGATGCTTTACTGGCGTCACAGAGACTCATATCATTTGTATTTTGCGTTAAATGAAGAAGTTACCCTACGGATCAGCCAGGCTCCCTCGGAAACCTATTAATGAGCAGTAGTGTTCATGAAATGCAGACCTCCACGGACAAAAATTACAACTCCTAATTGTACAATTTGCTGGCTTATCACATCCCCTAATGACCTGGTGTCTTGAATCAGAGAGGTCTAATCCTCCACGCCAGGTTACCTGGGCTACAGTGAGAGCCTGGAGATAGGCAACAGAGACAGCATTACCTCAGTCCCACGTGAGTCCTGGGGGAGATGGAAACCATACCATGATGCAAGGCACTGCACAAAATCACCATTAATTGCTTTACTGATGTTAATTAGCTGTGACCATACCCTAATTGCATTGCAATTAAAGAATTCACCTGGCTCTTGGAGGTAGCCAAAACTGTGTTTGTAATTATATAACTATATTGTAAGTCTTTTGCTCCCTTTCTTCTGACCCAAAGCTCCCATTGACGTTACTCAGAGCCTTGTCTAAGACAGACTCAGGAAAAGCTAGAAGATTTGTTCCAAGTAATTTTTTTCCCCCCTAGGTTGATGAAAGAGGCTTTATCTGATTTTTTTAAAAGATTTTTTTTTTGTCTTGTATGCTGCAGTTGCTTAGCAAATCCTTTTATTATCTGGAAAGAACTGAAAAGTGGTTGTTTGGTTTTTTGGGCTTTTTTTCCCTCCCTTCTTCCAGATCCTCATACTCTTCTGTTTTCTGTTTTAAATTTCAGGGCTCTTGCACATGAGAAATTCACAAAGTAAGTCCGTGGGGTTCGTTTGTTGTTCTGAAGGGGGCAAATTACTTAAAATACTTGTACTGGTCAATAATAGCAGTGATGCATTATTCAGTATTGTGTCTCTAATGTTTTTTATGTGTGAGGGGCTGTAAGCATGTTCAGTTAGCAATAAGAAGCTTTCTTTGTAATTTACTGTGCTAGCAGGAGTTTGAGGACTAAAGCCACTGGGTGCTGATAGAATTTACAAATCAGTTGTGTCAGTGCACATCTCTGAAACCTTTTCTGGCCTATTGTGAATAGACACTGTCCTTGGTAATCACTTTTTAGACGTCATATTTCCTTCCTGCGGAAGGAGTTCAACTTGTTTCTCTCTAAAGTGCATGAATATATAATGTTTAAAGTGTAAATCAAGAGAAATATGACACTTGTGTGAATGCTGCAACCAGCCACTGCTTATTCTTGTCCTTCTTACTCTTTTTTTTCAGAGAGCTGAAATATGTGATTCAGAGATTTGCAGAAGACCCGAGGCAAGAAGTGAGTTTGTTGGCAGTTTACACAGAGTATTAATTGGAGGCATCTCAAGTGTACTTGTTCAGATCTCTGCTTAAGTAGTTTGTTTCAAAACATGGTGTGGTTTTGCTCTGCTTAAGTCTCTTAAGGAGTAATGACCACTCAGGACATCCACTGTTAAGGGTTTCTGGCCTTATGTGCAAGCATGTGTTGTCACCTCCTGTCTGGCATCAGTTGATGTCCTTGTTCTGCAGTGTCCTGTAGCCAGAAAGATTTTCCCACTCTCTGGAATCTCTCAGAGCTTTTCATCTTTTGTACAAAAAAAGTGAAGCAGAATCCATAGATCCATACAGCCTACAAAATGACAGGTTTCATTTAGCTGTGTTTCAGCCACACTGTGTGAAATGACCCTAATTCTCATGAATTGGCAGGAGAAAGGGGGTGGGAGGTGTGTTACTGGGGTGAGTGTGTCCTGGTGGCTGCTGCTTCAGAGCTGCACTCATAGCTTGTTCAACATCATCAGCTTTGGCTGAGTCAGAGGGAACCTCTCATCCACAATAATCCTTGCTTTTGACACAAAAGAAACAAAGCTCCCTCAAACTGTGGGTGAGGCTGTATCATCATCATTGCCCAGAACTCCTGGTTTTCATGATTTTACCCCTTGTCAAATAAAACCTTCTTGTCCTAGAATGGCACCAGGATTTCATCTGTCACTCGTGTCGCATCCTTAAAGGAAAGAGCATAGACTTTACCTCCCCCAACACAGACCTCAAAAATTGAAATGGAACATCTGTGTCTTCAAGAGTAGGAAAAAAAAAAAGGAAAAAGAAAAGCTTAATTATGACTCTTCTATTAAACTGTGGGACTAAATATAGTAATCTTTACAGTGAGACAAATTTAGACTAATGGTTGCTCACTGGTGCCAGTTCTTCAGTGCAACTTCTGTGTTACGTATCCCTGTTGAGTTTTCCCTGTGGACTTCCTTCACCCTGACTCTGGTCAAATTTTATTAGAGCAGGAGTAATAAGAATTTTTAATGATTGGAATGAGCAAATCATCAGCATTTGGTATGCAGCTCACATCAGATGTGTAGACACACATGTTGGGAGGACGTGGGGAAATGGCAGAAGCTCAGAAATTTGTGGGGATTTTTTGGTTGTTTTTTTTTTGGTGGTGGTTTTTTTCCCAAGTGGAAGGAGCTGTTCTAAATTAAAGCTGGTTTGTGTTTGATTTGTGTAAAGGGAATGAAAAAGGCCAAGCATTTAGTGATGATACAGCTTCCCTCCTTGTTTATACTGAAAAAATGGGTTCTGTGAGTGGAGACAGGCCTGCAGCTCTGTAGGTTGGGATATTAACCACAAAATTTCCAGCAGTCCCTGGTTTTGCAGTTACCTCTTTCAGCCCAGTGTGGGAGACGCTGGTGATTATTGGCAGGAATTTTAACCTTCCCAATGTCTTCACTTTTTGGCAGGTCCACTCCTGTTTGCTGAGTGTGCGGGCTGGCAAAGATGGCTGGTTCCAGCTCTACAGCCCTGGAGGGGTGGCCTGTGATGATGATGGAGAGCTGTTTGCCAGTATGGTACGTGTCTGCAATAATGTGAGTTTAGAAACCTCCTTTCAGTAAGTAGTTAATGCCTACTTGGCAGTAACAAGATTTATTTGTCTTTCTAAAAAAAAAAAAAATTATCAAAATCATGGTTCTGTAAACCATGAGCATTCACCAGGAAATCTGGATCTTTCTATCACCACATCCATTGACCTCCCTTGCAGTCACAGTTTGTTCAGCACATTATTATTCTCCTTTTGGACCTTGGCATGTTTTCTCACTGATAGTGTAATGCACAAACCATGCCTGTGCATATGTATGTATTTTCGTATTGATAAATATGTGTGTTTGTGTGTCTGTATAAAAAACTCCCTCAGAGAACATGGAATACTGGGAGAGGAGACAGGGGAGACAGGCTGTTCTGTACATGCAAATCTATAGTTTTCATAGGCTACCCTGGAATTTAAAAGCAGTAACATAGACTTAACCAAAAAGACAGATAGATAGATAGATAGATAGATAGATAGATAGATAGATAGATAGATGGAAAAAAGATGTATCAGTGACTCTGCTCAATTACATTGGTGTGGGGAGGTGTAATTAGAAACCAGTATTCCATTTCCAGCAGTTATTGCTTTTGTGACTCTGAGAAGGACTAGACAGAAAATAACAGGTTTTAATCAGTGATGTGATTTAAGCACTGTCTTCCTGTGCAACCTGGGTCAAGTCACGTAGGTCTCGCTCTGTATTAATTCTCCATATAGCAAGTAAGATGGAAATGATATTACTGCCTTTCCCTGGTAAGGGGAAAAACATTTGGTGCAGTTGGCTGTTGGGTACACAGTGAAGTGACTTTCAGGGAGAGCTACACTTCTGTACATCTCCCACATGCTGAACATTTTGGGACATAAAGAACATGCATGTCTGTCTGTACTCTTAAATTCAGATGGATCAGATACCTTTGAAACAGGTAATGAACAAAGACTGTTCACAAAAGGTTTCATCCCTCCTCACTGTTTATATGTCTTTTATCTTCTGAAAAGAAAATTTCTTCAGAACTGTATAATTTCTCCTGAGAGCTGGTTCGGTTCAAGAAATTTATGAGCATCAGGAGATGGTGTGCATGAGAAAGCACAATGCTAACACACATTAATATGCAGTACACTGTGCCCTTTGCAAGGATGTTGATAAATACTTAAAGAACTGCTAACGACTAACCATAAGTTTGAAAAACATCCTGTTCTGAGATGCACCCAATGTTACATTAGTGTGAGTGTCAGTATTTTCTGTCGCTCAAGAAAACCTCTAAAAAAGCTTAACAAAAACTGCATGAAATTAAATCCATTTTGACTTGAAGATTAATGTTTGTAAAGGCCACCTGAGCTGATGGATGCTTAAGAAAAAAAGATTTTCTGTATCTCTGAAGACTTTGCTGGTAATGAAGCCATGAGGGAGCACAATTGTGTGGTAGCACATGATTCACATAGAATTGAGCTCATCATGGCATGGTTGTGATACTTTCAGCAGTATTGAACATAGCCCAGGCAATGCCATGAACCAGGGGGACCACAGGATGAATTTATAGGGTCACTGTAGAGTGTTGCTGATGTTGAGTCTGCATAATGGAGCTCTTCCTACCCAGGCCATTGGAAAATACGAATTCTCACACAGTGCTCTCCAGCAAATGGGGAATCAGCCATCTGGGCTATGAAATAAGACTCAGCTAGAACCCCAAAATTCTTTACATCTAATTTCTAGGGCTTTTAAATGGGGAGTAATATGGCCAAACCTCTTTTGTGAGAAGAGACTTTGATTTGATTTGTACAAGTGGCTTTGCATTTCTGCCAGAGGTGTTACTATGTGATGTCAGGTGATACTTTCTGGAGCTCGGAGGGAGTCTGCAGGACACCTTTGTTAACTAGTGGACTCGAAGGAGTCTTACTCAGGGGATGTTCTTGGCATTGCTTTCCTTTTGGGGAAAACTGAGCAAAAGAGAAAACAAGATAATGACTCAAGCACATGAAAGCACATGAAGTCATCTCTGACTTTGGGCTCAGGACTGCTGGATTTTCTTAAAGCAGTCCTTCCTTCCCCAGTCAGCTCCTGTCTGTTCATCCTGCACAGGTGATTTTGTCCGTCACCACCCCTTAACCAAGGCCAGCAGATTGCCAGCACCACTGCCTTTTACCCAGACACAAACCCCTTGCTCACCAGCTGGCATTTCCAGGGAAACCAAACCGCAAACAGATGCGAAAGCAAAATCTCCGGTGGTTCCCCTGGGGCTGGTTCATCATGTTACTGGTAATGGGGGCAATTGCACAGCTGCTCTGGTGTTTCCTGGGAAGCCTATATCAGGCCTGTGGGCTGTCAGCTGAGCTCCCTTGTGGGGAAAAACTTCCCACTCCCTCAGATCTCACTAGGCATCACCTTCTTCAGAAAGTCACTTCCGTTCAGCAATAAGGCCGTTGAGAGTCTGCAACCATTAATTGTAATGAGAGCCTCTGTTCCTTTTGGTTTGTTGCAAATACTTAATGTTTTTTGACTGCATAACAATGTCCCTTCAGAGGTATATGTGTTTTTTGAGCTAGCACCCCTAATTTTACCTCTGTTTCTCAAATAGGTTCATATTTTAATGGGATCCTGCTATAAAACAAAGAAGTTCCTGCTTTCACTGGCTGAAAATAAATTAGGACCTTGCATGCTACTGGCTTTGAGGGGTAACCAGACGATGGTAGAGGTAAGCCCTAAACATTTGTGGTCATACAGGTTTGTGAGCAGTGTTCAGACTTGGCCTCACACTGCCTTTCCCAGCAGAGTTGGGGTTTGTGCTGTGTCAAACCACCAGCATTTTGCAGTTGTGTTTCTCACAATTAAGTGGAACAGAATATTGTTGTTCTGCAGATATGAATGTGAATTACCTGAAGTTTTGGTGCAAGAATTTTTGGAGAAAGAAATTGTTTTCTGTAATGCAGCTGGAGAGGTTAAGATGGGAAATAAATGGCCATGATGGTATTGGCTGGGGTGAGGGGTCAGAATTCACAACCATGAGGCTTTTCCATGACAAAATGCTTGGTGCTTGTCTTGCCACCTGCAAAATGAGCAGTGCACAGGAAGTACATTTACAAAACCTTATTTGCTTACATCAATATGCATTTTTTGTGCTTATGATTGGTCATTATTATTGCACTAATAGTTTATATGTCTTTTTCTGGGTTTCTTAAGAGAGGTTTCTTGATAAATGTCATATTTTAAGTGGAAGTAAAGGGTGCATAAATAGGTGGAAGGTGTTACAAATTTTCATTGACTTAGATCTGTCCATGCTAATTCAATCCAGTAAATTAAGGAGAATGCTGCATGCATTTGAATATAATATTGCTGCATTTTTTTTCATTAAAAATAATTGAAATTATGGAGGGAATAAGAGATTTGCATTTTCATTTCAATGGCGTGATACATAGCTGAAAAGGAAAGGCAGCATGGAGGGGCAGCTTGTGTCCTAAGTCTGGAATCAGCCTCTGAGGTCTGACTTGTTCCTGGCAGCCCCTTTCCCAGGGGTGAGTCAGGTTGTTCCCAGTGAGCTGGAGGGTGTCCTGGCCCCAGCAGTGAGTTTCCACCATCATCCTCTCTCAGAGCCTCTCAGGCTTTTCCCATCCTGCCTCATGAGCTGGATACACCTCACACGTGTTCTGCTTGCACAGAAACCTCAGCACTTAGGGACAGAAAATCCGGCACTTAAGGAGCTGCTTGGCTCTGCTGCTGGAGTGTAATGTCCCAGCTCTGCCAATCCACAGCCTATCCAGTGTACCTGGGAAATACTGGATCGATTGTACCTGTTCTGAAGAGAGCTGTGGCATGGAGCCATCTTCCAGGTCTGAGGCAAAGTAATTGCACCTCTCAGTCAGAAGGAATGAGCACTAATGGAAGACAGGATGGACAGGCTGACTTTTAGAGATTACACTTCATTCTTTATGAACAAAAAATTGGTTTCTTGTCTTAGAAGGTTGGTAAATGTTGCTACAATCCTCTAATCTAACCTACATAATGCATGCTCTGAAAACTTAGCCAGGAATTTAAACTGCCATGCCCAGTGTAATTAGGACATTTGAAAGATATGGAATGTAAGCCCTACAGTGACCACTCTTCTTCTGTTCTGCTTTGCTAGATTTTGTGTTTGATGCTGGAATACAACATCATTGATAACAACGACACCCAGCTCCAGATCATCTCCACCCTGGAAAGCACAGACGTGGGAAAGAGAATGTATGAACAGCTGTGTGAGAGGCAGAGGGAGCTGAAGGAGCTGGTATGTCCCCTGCACACGGTATTGCCATAGCACGGTGGGGTCTGCGCCCTCCAGAAATGGAGCTTCAAAAGAAAGACAAGCAGGGTGTGAAATTCCCAGTTAACAACAGGATGGGAGCAGTGCTAGGAGGATTTTACTGTGAATATGTATGCTGTGTGGTATTTAGTGATGTGACTAATCCCATACTATGTTTATGAATGATATTCAATAACCTGCTTAGGATCTGTGTGAAAGAATAAAGGTGAAACCCTGCTGTCTCAAGATCTTACAAGTCAGCTTGTCAAATTCTGCCACCTTTTGACATATGAGTAGCAAATATTTCTAGTGCTGGCCAGCATTTCTGAATGCTCTGACATTCGCAGCAGTTCACTAAGATGGTCTTTAGGTCTAGTTCTCAGAGCTAGAGCCTATAGAAAAAGTTTTTTTCCTGGTTTTAAAGACAGGATCTACTGATTGAAACCAGATCTGCTCTCATTAGCACTTTTTTACCTATGCAAACATAGCCCTGCTCAACCTTCCTTTTCCTTCTTTCACATTTATATTTGTCTTTAACCTCTGCTCCCAACCTGAAAAGTAGATGCTTTTTTTGAAGTCAAACGATTTTATCAGCTGCACAGTCTCAACCCCTTTGCTCTCCTAGTCCAGCATTTTAAAGCTGTTTCCTTTAAAGTGAAAGTAGCTAAATACTGGCAGGCTGGAGCAGGCAAATGGCATGAGAAGACCCACTTAGCTGTGGTTAGTGGGTGTCCCCTGGGTAGCAACAGGCACACTCAGAAAAAAATCTGCCAGTGCAGAAAAAGCAGGGATGAGGTGGCAGGAAGCTTTGAAATCAGAGCAGGGTTTGTTCTAGTGAAGAGCTTGCTGTGCTTCCGTGGGTCTGAAATGTAGAATGGCAACTTGTTTGACCAAAATATCTTCTCTTTTACAGCAAAGAAAAGGTGGCCCCACAAGGTTAACACTGCCATCCAAGTCCACGGTAAGTTAATCATGTCAATAGAAAAACAAGCTTTGTCTTTCCATATTTAAACACTTGATTTATGTTTGCCATGTGGCACAGTGGTTTGGGGCAGTTGAGTGGGGAGCCATTCCGCTTGCTCTGTCAACACAACTGGAGTTTACACAAGTAAGGGCACATTTCTCCTCTTGGGCCTGTGCAGCAGTTTCCAACCCCAGCACAAGCATCAGACTGTCAGGTTTATACTGCTGTGCAGATTTGGAACGGTAGATTTGGGGACAGAATTTTGCGTTAAAAAGGCGGCAGTTCTGGATCTCAGACGTGGAAGTGTCAAAAGAGACCCAGCACTGTTGCAGTTAAGCCTGGTGAAAACCCAGGCTAACTTCACTGAGGCCAGGTAACAGTCCTGAACACAGTTGGGATCTGGACCTTGTGGTTAAATCTTCATGAAGTTTAAACACCCAACTTCAGCATTTGTCCCAGCACTGAAGCCTTCGTGTCTCATAAGGATACACATGCAAAGAACATTTTTGTCCTAATGTTTGGACAAATTTTTCCCAGGGTGTGTGAAGCAACGCTGCCACAAGAGCCCAGCTGCTTGCCAAACAAACAGAAACTTCTCTGTGTGGTTCTCTGTTACTGTAAACAAGTGGAGTAATTGTGCAACTCCCGCTGGTTACCGGTATCGGTGACACGGACGGTTACGGGCTGGGGAGTCCATGATCCTGATTATCAATCCGTTGCCTCCTTTCAGGATGCAGACCTGGCCCGCTTGCTAAGCTCGGGATCTTTTGGGAATCTGGAAAACCTCAGCCTGGCCTTCACCAACGTGACGAGTGCTTGTGCTGAGCACCTCATTAAACTGCCTTCGCTCAAGCAGCTGAACCTGTGGTCGACTCAGGTAAGTGCTCTGCAGTCTGAGACTCAGAGCAGGAACCAGCGCTGACTAATTCTGAAATTTCACATTACGTCAGCACAGGAAGAGTGTGTGAAGAGGCTTGCTCAGATGACTTTGTCCTCATGCTATTTTTATGAGGCCTTCCTGTGGCCTAGCCTATCTGGGCAGCTGATTTTGCCTTTTTTTTTTTTCCTAATTTAATTTTTATATTTTATTTTATTTTTAATTATAAAAGGGTTGCTGCTATCTTGGGTTGAATGGTCCAGTTGGGCATTGTTGCTGCTGTGTACTGTACCTGTGCTGTTCATCTGAGAAGTGCTTATGTTTTCATGCATTTAGGACAAAAACATGGTGCTGTGCATCTGATCTGGTCAAGTAAAGCACAGAGTCTGTGCAGTTTAGGCAGTGAATTGCTTTGAATGCTGATCAACCTGACAGCAACAAAAAGAAACTCAACTAATGAATAAGTAGAAGGAAAATGTTATTTTGTAAGCAAAAAGAGACAAAGTTAACTGAATAAATTATTCAGCTGTTAATCGAAAGAAGTTTTAAAATTAAATTTTTCTTCTATGTTTTGCCCCTGCTTTTGGTCTCTGAGGTTCTGCACTGAATAGGTTTTCCCCATTTTCTGTTAGCAACTATTTGTAGTGTTCCCTGAAAATATGATTATTCTCAGTGCAGCTACAAAAAGCAGCATTTTTCTAACCCAAATGTCACTTAAATATTTTGTTTTGTGTTCCTAACTACTTTCTATCCCAGAAATTTCCTTTTTTTTTGTATGAGGAGTACAAACTAGAAACTGATTCCTTGCTTTTTTTAAGACTCTTTTTTTAATCTCCTTCAGATTTGTCTTAACAATATGACTTCTGGATTTGAAAATTTTGATGCTTCTTGCTCAAAATGAGTTTGATTTCACTGGACAAAGATTTTATGTGTGGGGGGGGGTTTATTAAAAAAGAAAAAAAAAGGGTTTAGATTCCATTTTATTTTGCGATATCCTGGTTTCCATTAATCTTAGAATTTAGAAACAGCAGAAACCAAGTGGGTCAATAGAACAATTACCAATCAATAGTACATTGTTCTGGAGACCAAAATAGCTAATTAATACCACTTGCATTGTGCTTTTTCTGTGTGATGTGGTTGGGAACTGGCTGAGGCTGCCACAACCATCGTGTATAGCCTGGGTGGGAGCCCGCTCGTACAAAGTCCGGGCTTCAAAGGCACCATTCTAATTAAGTGATGGGCTGTGGTTAAGTGTGCACAAGTCACTTAATTTCTCTGTTCCCCACCCGCAAAACAGGGATAAAACTATTTGCTTTCCCTCCTGTCATTTGCGATTGTGGTGAACGAGCAGAGCTTGGCTTTGAGGGCTCGTCTGCAAACGCCGTTTGCACGTGCCCTGTTTGCACTGAGGGCCCTGCACAAGGTGTTGGTGCATTGTTTGAGACACAACTCTGCTTGTGCCCCACAGTTTGGAGACGCGGGGCTGCGGCTCCTGTCCGAGCACCTCACGATGCTGCAGGTGCTCAACCTGTGCGAGACGCCGGTGACGGACGCGGGGCTGCTGGCGCTGAGCTGTGAGTGACCACAGCGGGCTGTGTGGGAAGGTCGTGTGGGTTCTGAGGGATGCACGCGGGTTCACACGGAAGGCTGAACTTTTGGCTGCCACAGCGATGCTTCCGCAGGGATTTTAGGACAGGCCTTGGTTGTGGTTGGGTTTGAACTTCCCTCCCTCCTGCCCACACGCGTGGCCGTTCAGGTGTGGGCAGGGGAAGGGGGATGGTGACCTGAGCCTGATGGCACTTGGTGGCCTCGTGTGGGCTTTGTTAGCCTGGACCATACTCTGGCTCTTGCCTCTGCCTTTACTGATGTCACCTGCCTTCCTCTCACATGGTGACCTGTTGCCCTGGGACCTCCCAGCTTTCTTCCCACACTCTCCCATGGGCATCCCCTCTGGGTGGGACCTGACCTTGTGGTGCAGGAGGGGAAGATTGCAAAGCCATGTGGCAGCTTATCAGTCAGTTTAGCAACTGTGCACAGCAGGTTCCATACTCTTTCTGGCATTTTTTGCTCCTTCTTTTCTGGGGAGGTGAAACTCTCCCTATTCTTAGGTTAAACACAGCAAGGCAGAGGGAGGCATTCAGGATTCCCTGAGCACTGAAACCTGCTTGATGTGCCAGAATGAAACCCTCTCCTTCATCCAGCAGTGTATTATAAACCTCGCTGTTGGGTTTACAGGGCTACTTTCATAGGCTTGATCCTATGCAGACATGCCAGACAGGCCAGTAGTTTTGGCTCATCTTAGGAAACTATTCTGCTAAGAACTGGAGCCTAAAATGGGTATGTGGGGAGGAGAGGGAGCACTGCTAGATCAGCATGGCCCCTGTGAGCACCACGCAGAGCACTGAGAACAGGCACTGTTCAGAATAATGTGCAGGAAAGTGATTACGAGAAGTTGACTGAACTCCTTTGAAGTCAGTGGACTTAGGCATATGCTTAATGGCCTGTCCTAAATAGGGACTTTTTCCTGGATGAGGGCCCAAACAGCTGTTTATCCATTTGTACTTCTATATTTTACACTACTCAGCATTTTCCTGAGAGTGCTCACATACATCTTGTTTATGCTTTGGCCTACTGTAAGTTGATTATTTTAAGAAAATGCAGAATGATCATAAATAACTGTCTGTTTTTTCTTTTAGCCATGAAGAGCCTGTGTAGTTTAAATATGAACAGCACCAAACTTTCAGCAGATACCTATGAAGATCTCAAGGTATTTGTGAATTGCATCCACTAAAGATGAGAAGTAGATTTAGCACGTGCATGGTGGTGATACCTAGTGCAGAGAGAACTGGCCCCATGGAGTGGGTGGAAGGTTATCCAAAGAGGGTGAAGTGGATTATTTTGGGGAGAAAATGGCTGAAAACAGCATCGGGAGGTTGCTGGCTTTGATGGACACAGGAAACATTTAGTATACTGAATGGAGAAGTATGAGATAAAATCAGAAACTGAATCTTTTTGCCAATGCTCTCAACAGTAAAGGTTTTGTCAGTAAAAGTTTCATAAATAGGAACATATCGATGTTTCTGATGAAGGATACAGAAACAAGTAAAATCTAATGCTCACCATGTCCTGTAGTGTTAACAGGACCAGAAGCAACATGGCTGAACAGTGTTACAGAGCTTTGTATTGGAATGCAAAGGGAGAATTAAGCAAAGGGAGAATTAAAATCGTTGAGTAGGGTGCAGGTTTATCTTGACATCTCCAGGACTGGAGTGGGCTTTAAGCAGAAATGCCTGCACAAATGCCCAGTTCCCAAATGTGACATGTAAGATGTCTGGTGTTGCTGTGAATTCACAACGTTTTGTCAAAATGGTGTAAAGAACTAGAATGTAGCTGTGGGAGGGGAACGGCCCCAGGTGGTTTCAGACAAAACCTGCCTGAGATACGTCAGCTTTCATGACTTCATGTGGACTTTGCCTTCACTCTGGTGTTGTGTGAGTCGCATCTCCCAAAATCTTACCTTTGAAACCCAAACACTCAAGATGAAACTTGGCATTAGGTTGTATTCTATGTTGAAACCTTGGATTGGGGCAGGTTTGCTTAAAAGGTCACAATCTTGGGTTGAGTTTCTAACTTGAGGCAAGCCCTGAAACTGCTTTGCTTTCAAAATCCACTGCAAACGTCTCTCTTTGGTTCTGGCTGTAGAGCCAGGGCTCCCCCAGGGACTCAGTTGCAATCCTGCTAGCATGGATTTTTCAAGATCAAGTTTTCAAACTCGTGTCACAATTGTATATGCAAAGAAGTTGTCCTTGGAATCAACAGCTGGCTTGCAGATGGGTTCACACAATGGAGCTTGTATCAGGCCCCAGGCATTTACAGACAATCAAGGTCAATGCTGATTTTGGCCCAGGGCTCTGAAATCACATCTATTGAAAGGCTCTCTCAGTCCCACCCTGCTTTGAGCCCCTTTGCCACTAACTTCTTACTGAAACTCATATTTTCCTAACCAGTTCCCTCTGCTCTGGTATTGCATTAACAGTCCTTAGCAGCAACCCAAGAAAGTGACTTGCCAGGGCAAACAGCAAAACTGGCTGTGAGCAGGGTCCCGATGGCTGCAGAGAATTCAAAAAGCTGAGAAAACACACAGGCGTCACTTTTTCCCCTTTCACCTCTTCCACTGAGATTTATCTTGGTGGCCATTTTTTAGTGCTCTGTTCAAGGCAGGGTAATAGTTTCTCTCCCTGGGGCACATGGTTGTAGGTCTTTTGAGAACAGCTCAGACTTCAAAGAATGTATTTTTGATACAAATCTTTCCTTCTTCTCCCCTTGGTCTGCGAGAGCATTTGGGGCACAAGCCAGTGATGACATTTCCTCTCGGCTCCATCCCCCACCCCACTAAACACACTTGCACACACACACAGACACCCACATATGTACCAGGCAGGCTGAACCAGACAATAAATAAACACCCACTACTGAAGTCATTATTGCCTAACTGAAAAATTATTTGCTGGCAGTGTCTGTATGATTATGACTAGCTCTTATCAAAATATGCGTGCACATAAATCAAGGAGTGAGGTAATAATGACTCCTAGAAACTTCCAAGTCCTCAATTATGCCCTAGCCTAATTAAACGTGTTTATTTGTTTTGAGAGAATTAGCCATGCAATTATGGTCAGAGAGCACGGAAACGGGATCGACAAGTAGGAACAGCACAAACAGCCGATCCCCGTCTGCCTCGCGCGGGGTAATTCAGGAACGACACGGAAGTTACGGAAGGGAGACCACAAAGACACCAAAAAGATGCTAAACTCTCCAACTTTTTTTAGTACATGAAGGGAGAAATCAAGCAGTGCCTTAGTGTGGAGGCTGAGGGAGGAACGCGTGGCTGTGCGCTCGATTTGAGTCCACTACCTTCTCGGCGGGAGTTTGACAAACACGTTTTCCTAAGCATTTGTATAAAAAATGAAGATCAGGGTCTGATCTGGACCTGATTGCCGGTACAGATTTCACAGGGACTTTTTACCTGAGTCCTGAACACGTGTCATTAATCCTGACCTTTTCCTCCCTTCTCACACAGGCTAAACTACCCAACCTGAAAGAGGTGGACGTCCGCTACACCGAAGCGTGGTGAACTCTCCCTGCCTCCGACTCTTCTCTTTTGCTTCTCGTGAGAAGGAAAAGATTTTTAAAACAAACAGAGAAAAAAAACAAACAAACACAAACCGGAAAATAACTTTTGGCTAATACCTGTAGAGCAGTGAGTCCGGGGACTTGGTGGCAGGAGTTGTGGTTGTGGGGTAGCGGAGTGGCGTTGTGTGTGTCGAGGGGATGGGGCAAGCCTGGACCCCGTTGGATTCTTTCAGCTTTGTGATTTCAGAATCAACGTAATTTAAATCGAAAAGGAAGCAAACAAACAAACAAAAAAAGGACTTTGTAGCAGCAAGAGGATTATAAAGAGGAAAAAAAAAAACACCTTTGTGGATTTTATTTGCCTTTGTGTTTTATGCCGTGTGGAGAAAAAAAAAATATATTCATTTGTCATTATTTACCTGGGTTTCCTTGGCTGGGACCCAGCCAGCCAGAACTCCTCTTTCACCAGTTTTGCTCCAGAAAATCAAACTTACAAAAATCTCAAGAGAAGAAAACCAAAACCAATATGATTTTCACCTCCCCTCCGTGTCCTTGCAGTTGTTATGCAAAGTAATTTTGTTGTACATAAGATTTACATAATGCACCTATTTAAGAAAATGGTTCACAAATAACAGGTCTGGGACCTGTCTTTTATTTATGAATTGTTAATTCTTTTACCCTTTTTTTGCGTTTAGTACTGTATAAACTAGTTTGCTGTCTTGTTGTTATTATTATTTTTTTTAAGGAAACGTCCTCCTTGAAGAATTGCCTTTTAGTAATGCAGACTGTATTATACTCCCTCTCTGTCAACATTCATCGCGTTGTCTTTTTGATTTCAAAATGCCTCAAACGTTATCAAATAGGAAGGAAAATATCAAAGGGGGGGGTTGGTCGCTGGGGGAGGGGATACAGGGATTAATAAAAGTCACATTTCCTTCCGAAGTCTGAAAACTTTCTTTAGTCTTTTAAAGCACGTCAGGTTTGAACGCGGGAGACGGGGACAGGCCGTCGTTCATTTTGCCAATGGGGTGTTCGCAAAACTGTAGATTTTACAAGTTGCCTCCGTTGTTTTCTGTTTACGTCCGATATTTCAAAAAGAGAAAAAAAAAAAGTTCTCCCTCCACTTCGTGCATCAGCTTTTTCTGGTTTTGTT